GACTAAACAATACATGCATCTAACTACAGTTTGGTGCGCGCCAAACACTAGTCTTTATATATTATCTTGACTAATTACACTAAGGATGATCTGATAACAGACCGAAACGTTTGTTAAAGTATTATTTGAAATAAAGGTTACGAACACTCTGTTGTGGCTCCATGCTTTCCTTTTTATGTGGTGATTTCTAATCAATTGAGTTTTTAGATATTAAAAAAAGACAGCAGAAAAAGGAAACAAAACTTGCTAAAACTGGCTAATTATTTCGTCAGTCAATAATGATCACTATTATACTGCTATTATTTACCCTTATTCTACTGATATCTAATTACTATGTGCATTATCATGGAAGAAAGGGGCGACTTATCAATCTTATACCAGGACCATCAGGTTATCCGATTGTTGGAAATGCATTTCAATATCTTCTTGCTTCACGAGGTAAGTTATAATTTCACATACAATAATCCTGTAAATAAATACCCAGGTAGCAGACAGTCGTCATAATGACGTGATTCTAACGTCATATTATGACGTATGTTACGTCATTTATTCCTAAAGTTTAACGTAAAAATGACGTATTTTTCACGGTCCTAAGTCACATCCCAACGACGTTATTTTCTGACGTTTTATTGACGGCAAAAATAGGTCTAATGTACGACATACCGGTTTCTAGAAATGTTTTTTATAAAATTAAAATTTTAAAATGTCTACTTGATAAACGTTTACAAAAAAATGTTCTTTTTCTTCATTTAAAAAAAAAAAAGCTTTTTTAACTGTTTCGTTACATGCCATGTGCGTATAGCCGCTCTCAAGGCGGTCACCCATCCTAGCACAGTACCGCGTCCGAGTCGCTTGACTTCGATGATCCAGTGGACAGTGACGATCTTCTCACCCTGATGCTTCCTTATTAACTGCATATTCACTTAGGGTAGACCGGGGACAAAAGTAACATTTTGAGTTTAAGATTTTATAACAGTTAAAATATAATGTCTACGTAAAAAAAACCTGTACCTTTAGATGTAGAATTTATTTGACTACAAAATTTTCTTGTGCTGAATTCAGTAATGTAACTAAAAAAAAAGTTATTATTGTTTAAAAAATATGAGGAATACTGTTACAACCGTCCCAACCCCCGGGACAATTGTAACAGCAGAGGGGAACAATTGTACCACATCATCTATAAACAAAATAATGGTTATTTAGTAGGTTTATGTAATCAATCTTACGAATTTTCTATAAAAAATGTAACTTTAATGATAAAATAATTTGTTACATGACAATATCAGTATTTTTACATTACAGCAAACAAAAACAAATAATACTGTTTTCTCAACTGAAAGATTATTTATAATCATATATATTTAAAGGGTTAGGTTGAGTTGAAGTTGTCCCCGAGCAACGGGGACAATTGCAACGCTACAACTGTCCCTAGGCATTGATGTTACAATTGTCCCCTAATGATATTTTAAGATTTGAAGTAAATTTTTTACATAAATATCTGGATGAAAGTCAATCGTATTATGCAAATCATCAACATAAATAATCACTAAAACATATAAAAATAAAACCTTATACCTTCGGCATAAAGAAAGAAAAATATTTCAGATTTTATGCACGTAAGAAAACTTACTTCAGGAAGGAAAAAAGTAACTTCTTCTCCTGCACACGTGCACGTTTCGCGAGGGGCGGCAATGAACTAAGGAACAAATGCCGTTCTATCTAGCGGATCTCGCCTCGCGGTCATACACACGTACCTTTTATAGTTTAAGAAATATTCACGATGTTACAACTGTACCCTGTTACTTTTGTTTCCGGCCTACCTTATGCACACAAATTTTTAAATATAAAATTTGCAAACATTTTTCTCTGAGATATATAATTATCGATATTATTGCACGTTAACTACTTTTAAGAATTATTTAAGTTTATAGGTAAATATTTTTAAACAATATCATTCATTTTTTTATTACTGAAGTTATTTGAGGAATAAAATATCTAGGTACATTATATCAATATAACGATAAAGTCAATCATACATATTTTGATCAATATTTATAATATTTCCGTAAACTTACATAACAAATATTATACATACATTTTTTAGAAGAACTATGGAAGTTTCTGATTACCTTAACTGACGAGTTTTATCCCATTGGAAAAGTTTGGGGATTCTTTCTTCCCGTAATATCCATCCGTCATCCGAATGATTTAGAGGTGAAATATGAAATTTTATTCTGTTTTTTTTTTATTATTGATATATTACCGATAAAATGTTTATTTCTCCGTTTTTTATTTTGCAAAAATATGTTTATTCGCCAAAAGTCTGAAATAATTAAATATTTAAAATTTAAGATGATTATCTCTTCATTTATTTCTCAGAGATAATTGAATATTTAAAATACTTGTGAAATTAATTAATTGATTATTTAAATGGCGTCCAAATTAATAACATTTAACTTAATATTTTCTGTAACTTTAGACAATATTAAGCAGCACAAAACATATCGAAAAAAGTCTTCTTTATGATGTTTTACATCCGTGGTTCGGTACTGGTCTTCTCACTAGTGGAGGTAATATCACGATATTAATATAAATAATGGTACATGTTTTACTAAATTTTGCTTTGCCTTCTTATCAAACGACCCAGCAACGGTCCATAAGGGTTTTGGCTCCTAGTCAAATTTAACAATAATGTAAGATAATGTAGTTTATAACATGCTGATAAAAAATGTCCATAGGCACCAAGCCCAAAAATGGACAGTTTCCGAGATATAAGGCATTAAAAAGTGGAAAAATGAGAGTTTTAGGTTTCAGCTAATGGCAGTTTGCAACAGGAATATATCATGATAAGTCATATCTATTTTGATACTAAACCCACACGCAGGTAGAAAAAGAGAAAGAGAGTTGTTTTTGTGTGTGCGTGAATGAGTGCGTGTGTGCGTGCGTGCGTGTGTGCGTTCGTGTGTGCGTGCGTGTGTGCGTGCGTGCGTGCGTGTGCGTGCGTGCGTGTGCGTGCGTGCGTGTGCGTGCGTGCGTGCGTGCGTGCGTGCGTGTGTGTGTGTGTGTGTGTGTGTGTGTGTGTGTTTGTGTGTGTGTGTGTGTGATTACGGGAGTGACGAATCGTGGGGTCCATATTCTGTGCCTTGGGAACACACACACACATACACAAACAACTCTCTTTCTCTTTTTCTATACCTGCGTGTGGTTTAGTATAAAAAAAGATATGACTTATCATGATATATTCCTGTTGCAAACTGCCATTAGCTGAAACCTGAGACTCTTATTTTTCCACTCTTTAATGCCTTATATCTCGGAAACTGTCCATTTTTGGGCTTGGTGCCTATGGACACTTTTTATCAGCATATTATGAACTATATTATCCTACGTTATTGTTTTTAACTGAGAGCCAAAACCTTTATAGACCGTTGCGGGGTCCTTTGTTTTAAGTTTCAATTTTGTTGATAATAGAATAAATCTGTATAATTAAATTTGAATGGCATATATTACATCACACAGTAATTAGATTTACATATATGTTTACAACATCTCATATTATATCAATCACGAAAAAAAATAATTGTATTATTAAATATAAAAATAAATTAATAATTGATATAATTACATTGAATATAAATATTATAAAAGAAGATAATAAGCGTATAAAAAAATTTCTTTCTTATACGTTATATTACACAATATGTGCCGTCGTAAAAGTTTAAACACATATCACAAAAAAAATACATTTGTAATATGATTATTAAAAATCAAAAAATTTCAAATTAAGTAAAAAATATACATATCTCACTGCAATGTTTGTTTCACAATGTTATTCCACAATTGTGTAACATGTTATTTATGTTTCAGGCGCCAAGTGGCATTCACGACGAAAGATATTAACTCCCACATTTCATTTTAATATATTACAGCAGTTTATTCAGATTTTGATCGAAGAAGGTGAAAACATGTCCAAATCTTTGAAAAATGCAGAAAGCACAGTTGTGAAAAATTTAATACCATTTTTTAGTGAACATACGCTGAATGCAATATGTGGTATGATGTGTTCATAACTGAATATTTTAACTGTAAATTTTATTGCTTTTGATAAATAAAATTAGACTATAAAATAAAATTTTTAAAACTGTAAGTATCAAAGTCACAACATAGATACTCATTCGTAATTTTGACAGCCACACATACTTTTGAAATAATATATGATAATATTATCTTGATATTTTTACAAATGCGTTTGCAGAAACTGCCATGGGCACTTCTTTACGAGACCTCGGTGATTTCCAGCAGCAATATCGAGAAGCGGTTCATCGGATGGGAGAACTTTTTATTTACAGGTATAATAATTCATGTTTTATTAGTTATAAATAACTGTATATCCATATTCAATCTTAATTAAAATATGAATTCGTATTGTGTAATTATATGAACAGGTAAGTATAATAATACAATACTTAATGTAAAGGTAAATTACCACGTTTATTAATTAGAAATGTATAAATTACGTGTATGTTAAATTATCTATTTAAAAAAAAATAGAAACAAATTTAAAAATAAATAGTTAAAAGAAGGTGTAATATTTATGCTATATATGTATAAGATTTTGCATATGTATCTAGCATAATTTTATTAGTGTTTTAATGTATTCTCTTTTTACATAGTTAATGAAATAAAACTAATTGTAAAAATATATAAAAAACTTAAAGAAATATATGTTTTCCAAATTTACATTATTATCTTCTTAAAGTAACATGCCTAACATTTATTAATTATTTAGACTATTTAGGCAATGGCTGTACAGCGATTGGATATTCTCGTTGACGTCAAAAGGTAAAGAGCAAAAGAAGATGCTGAAGATATTACATGGATTTACTAAACAAGTATGCAAAAATGCTTCTTAATATAATATTTAAATATTATTTATTTAAAATTATTACAATACAAAAAAATTACAACGTAATTATAGTGTAGAAAAATTATAAATTGTAAATGTTAACAACACATTATTAACGTATTTATAGAAGAACCATTATAATGTTAATGTATTTTATACATAGATAATTGCTGAAAGAAAAGTTTATCATGATCGCACTAATGGTCAATATTTAAAAATATTTAAAAATTTTGATAATGACACGTCGGCAAAGAGAGATGACGCAGTACCGGTAAGAAGTACGTAATTTAATCAGTTATTGCTATTCTTTAAATCTGGTTGGTGTTTAATTTTATTAATATTATATTTTATTATATTATATTTTACAACTTATAAATATTATACTTATAGTTTAAATTTATAACGTCAAGTTTATATAATGAAAACGTCGCAGAAGAATTGAGCTGTTAATTGGATATAAATGTATTTACATATTTCGATTTAATACGAAGAAAACGGCTTGCAATGTTGGATCTTCTAATAGCGGCATCTCGTGATGGCCTTATGACTGACTCAGATATTAGGGAGGAAGTTGACACTTTTATGTTTGAGGTACATAATTTCTTTTGTAACCTCTCTTATTCATTATTTATAGATACATATATTATAATACATTGATGTATACGATTATAGGGTCATGATACTACAGCGATGGGTCTGTGCTTCATTTCGGCACTATTAGCTGAGCATAAGGACATTCAGGTATCTTCAAATGTAAATTGCTATTCCAAGACAAAGAAATTAATTAATTGATTCCAAAAGTTATTTATTAATCTTCCGTCTGTATATGTGAGTTTATGGCGTCCGAGCCAAAATGATATTTGCTTATAACTATAAAACTTACGAGCTTTCCAGAAAATAATAAATTAACGATGTTTATCAAAATGATTATAAAATCTTTAACTACAGTGTAGACAGAGGTTTCTTGAAATTTTTTTCAACAGACTTTTTAAAATACTTTAGAGAAAAATAGCGTCCATCGTAATAGACCCACGTATACACTCCGAGGCTGCAAAGAAAATGTATACAAACAGACGATTAAATACGAATCAATATCTAACTCTTTAAATATTTTTTAAGTTTGTATATGTGTATATGTACACAATTTGCTTTTTTGAATTAATAGATGTATAGAAAATATTCGCACGCACAGACTTAAGCGTAAGCACATATTTCAAATATTTTGTTATATCTTAAGTGCAATTTATTATATACACATATTTCAAATAAATTAATCAAAACATTTGTAAAATAAATATTTCCTAGATATATTTGTTTCCACGTATAAACATCACAATAACAAGAGAAGCCTTTTAATTAACAATGATGATAACAGGATCGTGTCAGAAACGAAATTGATTCTGCTTTGCAAGAGAATGGACAAAAGTTTACTATAAAATTGTTGCAAGATCTACCATATTTGGAAAGATGTATAAAGGAAGCATTGCGCTTATATCCCAGCGTGTATGTCATATCACGTCTTCCTGGGGAAGACGTAAAATTACGTACGCATCTAACCAATTGTTTTGTATATATTTTTAAATAATTACGCCACACATCATTAAAAGGCAACATTCCCGTATATTTCAAAGATTCAAAAATTTGTATATTTCTCTATTGATAAATTTATTTCCATAATATTTCAAAATTTTATATACAAAGCTCTATCTAATACAACGTATAATATTTTGAGAAAATAATGTTAAACAAGTAATGCTTAATAAAATTTAAATAATAATTACATTATATTTTTTATCTTGCAAACTATAGGCAACTATTTCTATGTTGCATTAAATTCATACTAAAAAAAAATTCTTGGTAAGTTCGTGATAACGAAGGTTCTTGGTAACATCAGCCAAGCCTGGATTATTAGACATCTTTTCAGTGTATATATTCAGTTTTAAAATTTGAGAGAATACAGCTTAAATTATTATTTCTAAATCTTAATTATTGTACGATATGCTCTTTAGAGTCATATTTGGTACCTGCTGGAACATTCTTGCTTCTTAACATTTATGGAGTCCACAGAGATCCTAATTTTTGGTCAAATCCAGAAGTATTTGATCCTGATAGATTCTTGTCTGAGAAGATCCGACATCGTCATCCTTATTCGTATTTACCATTCAGTGCTGGTCCACGTAACTGCATCGGTAAACTGTATTTTTTATATTCTGATATGTATAATACCATGTTATATTAACAGATTACGATATGTACCAAATTGTAGGTCAACGATTTGCTATGCTGGAAATGAAGGCCATGATAGCTCCTCTGGTACACAATTTCTACTTGGAGCCTATTGATTATTTAAAGAATCTTCGGATGCAGCTTGATTTGGTACTTCGCCCTGCTCAGCCACTTCGTGTAAAATTTATCCCTGTCTGTAAAACAAAAGCAAGCCCTTGAAACAAATATCGACTTAATAAAGATTATAAAAGGCTAAGAAAAGGTTTTATTTGCTTACACAATAATTGTTAATAGCTCCGTAATAGTAACACTTTGCACACGTGTCATAATCGGTCACAAAATAAAAATGTAAATAAAATGTAATAAATGTATAAAATATATTAAATAAATAATTATTTTACTATAGGGTAACTCGGGAAAATATGCCACACTTAAGAAAAATATAATTTTTTTCCTATTTCTCTTTCTTTTTGAGGTATCTTTACATACTGGTCTTCTTTTTTCTTCTTTTATCTGTTATTTATATATGGTTTATATATATATATATATATATATATATATATATATATATATATATATAATTGATGTGTACGATTATAGGGTCATGATACCACAGCGATGGGTCTGTGCTTCATTTCGGCACTATTAGCTGAGCATAAGGACATTCAGGTATCTTCAAATGTAAATTGCTATTCCAAGACAAAGAAATTAATTAATTGATTCCAAAAGTTATTTATTAATCTTCCGTCTGTATATGTGAGTTTATTGCGTCAACAAAAAGACTTCAATTTATCAACAATTTACTGCTTTAAATGGTGTTTTGGTAAAGCAGCGACTTTTTCGCAAAATAAAGTATTCTCTGCTTTAACAAAAAGACTTCAATTTATCAACAACTTACTGGTTTAAATGTTATGTTTGGTAAAGCATATAAAGTTATAGAAGTTGTGATTTTCTTTAAAGCAGGGCACACACACATGTGTGTATGTCCTGCTTTATAGAAGTTGTGATTTTCTTTAAAGCAGGGCACACACACGTATATATTAGTTATTTATGCCTTCTAATACTCAAAATAGCTGCTATATTTTCCAAACTTTTTTTGTTAATAACTTTTTAACGAATAGCAAGCGACGGCTAAAACCTTCTGAAGGTCACTCAGGAAGGTGACCTTGACAACATATGTCAAGGTCAAGGTCATCGGAGGTGCTTCCCCTATACTGCATAATTACCCAGCTTCCTAACCTATTAGCAGTATTCTGCTACTGGCGAAATAAAAATACTGCAAAAACTACATTAGTAACATTGTCAGTAAATTTTTTATATTTACTTCCGCAACCGTATGTCTTTATTCAAGAATTCGTTTCTAAATATATATCTTTTATGATACTTTTTCTAGCCACAATTACTAAATCAAAACAGTTTGTAAAACAGCTTTCTGTGAAGTTTGTTGTAAACAGTACTGACATTTTACCTCTATCTAAGTAGTGGCATATTCTCTCAAGATGCAGTTTTATATTAAAATGAGCCTGTATCATACGATTGCCAGTAAAACGAATCGGCGACGTACTGAATACTTTCATCCTAATCAATATTAATAGAACAACAAGCTGATTGAGTTAAAAATAGTGTAATGCTGGAAGAATATATCTTATATAAAACACTAAGAAAATTTTAAAAAGCACGTTGTCATACTTGTCATACTGTACTTACCCCATAAAAACTATAATATTGACAAGAAGTAAGTAAAACTTGAGCAAAACATCAGATATAATATTTTTAACAATTTCACAGTATTTACAACAACGCTCCTAGCCGTAGCTTTGTTAAACATAACGAGTGACATATTCTCCACACTGGCATATTCCCCCAAGTTACCCTATAGTCAATAAAGTATTACAATATTTTATTGTACATGATATTTCATTACACAATATATAAAACTGCATTGCAGCGAAAACGAACAATTATTTTTATAAATAATAAATAATAAGTTATGAAATGCTCTCCTTGCATTCCCCGTCACATCTTGTCATTTTACTAGCCTCCTTTTTTTTTCTTCTTTTCTCATTGCTATTCTATTATAGCACTTAGATTTGTTCGGTAAAATAATTACTAAGATACACAGATTACGTGGCTTTGTCATACTTTATACGATATTAAATACAATGCGTATTTAATAATGTCGCAACAACAGAGCGATAGAAGCCTGACTTCTGCGATGTTTCACAAATAAAAGTTCAATGAAATGAAGTATCAGTACATGAGCGTCGAACGTGTACCACCTAAAAGATATTGCAGTAAATAATAAATAAACAGTTCTTCTTTGAGGATAAGTCATTAGTAACTGCAATAATTTATTTATTATAAAGAGAAAACTCTTAAAAAGTGTTGAACAGTTTATGAAACAAATATGGAAGAAATAGAGAATGACCTTTAACCAATTTTCTGGCCTTCTAAATTCGAATCGAATTGTATGCCAGACAGTACTACATGATGGGACATTAATTTAAGCAAATTTTAAGTTGAGGATAATTTTGGAGATACAGGGAGTCAAAGTGGCCAAATTCCCAATATTCCACAATACAAGCACAAAGGACACAAAAAAAAGTTAAAATTCTTTTAATAATAGTGATAATTTGATTAGAATTAGTCAGAATAGTTCTTTGTGGTGACCGCACCCTACTAAAAATTCGACCCTTCCACTACTGTTGCTTAATTTTTTAAAGAGACTTTCAAAAAAACTGTCCCTCAAAAACGTTTTTGCTGAATTTTTTGAAAACGGATACAGTTGCGAAAAAATTCAAATGGAAGTTGTTTATCTTGGAATTCGATCTACACAAATAGGTCTCTTTTATTTTTTTCGTAGAGCTAATCTTTTGGCTCGAAAACTCTCTCACTCTCTCAATGCATCTTTTTTTTTAATTTAAAGTATAAGAACTGACGCTGAGTCTGGTCTTACTAAGCTCTTACCGTCTATCACTTGCAATATGCCAACAATAACTTTTCAAACTCTTAAGCTGGATATACACTTAGCGAACAAACACCGAACAAACAGTGAACGCAAACGTTCGTTGTCAATTATTCAACAGATATAATGAAAAATCTAAAATTGCTACATGCAGCAAACACCGAATCTAATCGAATTCTAGTATTTGGTGCAAAAGAAAAAAAGAACAAGCAATCAAAGAACACAAATGCCATTATCCACGTTTGCTGTTCGTTCTCTAAGTGTATATTTAACTTTAAACGTATTATTAATCCAAATGCATTTTAAATCTTTAACTTCCCATTAAAGAAAATCCATTAAACGAGGTATACGCGAAATGAAAGTCGGGCCGGAATCGAATCACGGACCTTTGAGTTAATAAAATCACTCGCGCAACCACCGCGGAGCCACGTGTTATCCCTCTCTCAAAATGTATCTGCGAGGCTTGATCGTTAGCGCACTCTTTCGGAAATTGCAACCGTACAAGAAAATCGAAACATATTAAAAATCTGAACATACTAAAAATTCTCCTGCTCGCATAAATATACACGGTAGTGCCTCGCGCTGCGCGTGTACCTACTTGACGCGAGAATCTACCGTGCCTCTTGATATTCTATGTATGAGCGTTTAGACTCTAGACTCTATATATAGACTCAAGAGCATTCTCGGCGGTTGGAAAGGTGACAATGCAATCACTACAATTTATACAATATTAAAACATTTTTTTTTTTTATTATAAAGTGTATTATATTACTGTTTGTGCTGACATTGCACTAACAATAAGAGAAGAAATCAAAAAAAGTTGAAAAAGTTTTCAGATCGCCGTCAAATGTATAATAGATACGGCACATTTATTATTCTATATTAATCTGTTTATTTATTTTAATATCAATGATGCAAATCATATGCGACACTTGTAATGTTCTAACCATTTCCATAATCTTTGTATTGGTGATATTATTTATATTGCTTGTATAAGCAATTTTTTAAAGAATCATCATTATCATCCTCTTATGCCCGTTCTAGACTGGAGGATGAACCGACTCTCGGCTCATCCGAGTGAGTGGTGTAGACGGGTAAAAATCTATAGTTTATGTATAGTTTATGTCACGTACACTATAGAAGGCGGATGAGCCGAGAGTCGGCTCATCCTCCAGTCTAGAACGGGCATTATAAAAGCGGTATGAAACCCTGAAGTTGGCTGAATCGGGTTTGCAATTGTTGCCGCGTTATTGCAAACGTGATTGATTGTCTCGATTCAGTCGATTGATCGAGTGTACAAATGTTTTTTACATAAATAATAAAAAATAAAAAAACATTACAAGGCGCGCGCGCGCGTGAAGCGTGCGCTATAATCTAGTTATATCTAAAGAAGGCATGTAAAGTCGATACTCGAATCTATCAAAGTTTATTGTGGACGCTTTTGAGCAATTGTTATCGTATTTTAACAGTTGTGTGTATCAAGAAGTTAATATATAGTAATAGTATAATGTTAAAGCTAAATAGCGCGTGCAAATCGCGCGTCTGTGTTGTCTATTCTTATAAAAAGCTTATTAATAATGAATTTTAGATGTTATTATATCTAGGACTGTTCAAGTCACTTAAATGATCAAACAGAACATCATAAAAGCGAACGAATAGTCAATAGATCAGTACCATAACTGATCAGTTACTCGTAAGCGTTTATTATAAGAACTTCGGTTTATCGTGACACATTATAGTAACGAAAGCATTTGTAATAATGTAATATCTCTAAAATATTTAGAAATTAAATAAATTTTTACTATATTTATATGTTTGTTATGCACATGCACATTTTTTAATAAAATAAATAATACATTAACTCTTTAAAATTGTTAGTGTCAATAAAGTATTAATTAATAGAGTAGCGTACTTTTTACCAAACATATTTAAAATATAAAGACTGTAAATAATACATATTTTGTGATTTGTGTAATTTAAGAATTAAAAGAAGTTATCAACACATAAAAAAGAGGGCGTAGTGCCCAACAGGAGTATTCGTAACTTTTATGTAAAATAATACTTTAACAAACGTTTTGCTCTGTTATCAGATCATCTTTAGTGTAATCAGTTAAGATAATACATAAAGATTAATAAACAAAAAGATAAAAATAAAAACCGCAATACATTGCATCAATCGCATTAGTTCCTATCGTAATATAAAATTCAAATCGAACGCACATACTATTTCTTTAAAGAATAAAAGTCGAAAAATAAACTGAAATAAATAACGATTCACAAATAACAACATGTCATATAACATGTTACATGTCAATGAACTAATAACATTAGTGAAAATTTTACAACATGACTCTCTACATAGAACACCATGATCATCTTATCACAATATTTATGTATGTACGTATTCAGAAAACATTTTTCTTACACGTTTATTTCGATGACATGTTATTATTTGTGAATCCGTAATTCATTTCAGTTTACTCCTCGACTTTTATATAAAAAAAATAGCATGTGCGTTTGATTCAAATTTTATATGCGATAAAAACTAATGCAATTAATGCATTTATTGTGATTTATATTTTTATCTTTTTGTTTACCGGTCTTTGTGTTACCTTAACTTATCACATTAAAGATGGTCTGATAACAGACCAAAACATTTGTTAAAATATTATTTTAGTTAAAATAAGAACCAATGCGATTAATGCAATGTTTTGCGGTTTTTATTTACATCCCCTTGTTTACTAGTCTTTATATATTATCTTGACTAATTACACTAAAGATGATCTGATAACAGACCGAAACGTTTGTTAAAGTATTATTTGAAATTAAGGTTACGAACACCCTGTTGTGGCTCCATGCTTTCCTTTTTATGTGGTGATTTCTAATCATTTGAGTTTTTAGATATTAAAAGAAGACAGCAGAAAAAGGAAACAAAACTTGCTAAAACTAACTAATTATTTCGTCAGTCAATAATGATCACTATTATACTGCTATTACTTACCCTTATTCTACTGATATCTAATTACTATGTGCATTATCATCGAAGAAAGGGGCGACTTATCAATCTTATACCAGGACCATCAGGTTATCCGATTGTTGGAAATGCATTTCAATATCTTGCTTCACGAGGTAAGTTATAATTTCACACACAGTAATCCCGTAAATAAATATTCACCTAAACACACAAATTTTTAAATATAAAATTTGCAAACATTTTTCTCTGAGATATATAATTATCGATATTATTGCACGTTAACTACTTTTGAGAATTATTTAAGCTTATAGGTAAATATTTTTAAACAATAATATCATTCATTTTTTTATTACTGAAGTTATTTGAGGAATAAAATATCTAGGTACATTATATCAATATAACGATAAAATCAATCATACATATTTCGATCAATATTTATAATATTTCCGTAAACTTACATAACAAACATTATACATACATTTTTTAGAAGAACTATGGAAGTTTCTGATTACCTTAACTGACGAGTTTTATCCCATTGGAAAAGTTTGGGGATTCTTTTTTCCCGTAATATCCATCCGTCATCCGAATGATTTAGAGGTGAAATATGAAAGAAATATTATTCTGCTTTTTTTAGTATTGATATATTGACGATAAGGTGTTTATTTTTTTGTTTTTTTTTTTTTATTTTGAAAAAATATATTTGTTCGTCAAAAGTCTGAAATAATTGTATATTTAAAATTAAAGATGATTATCTCTTATTCATTCATCTCTCAGAGATAATTAAATATTTAAAATACTTGTGAAATTAATTAATTGATTATTTAAATGGCGTCCGAATTAAATAACATTTAACTTAATGTTTTCTGTAATTTTAGACAATATTAAGCAGCACAAAACATATCGAAAAGAGTATTTTTTATGATATTTTACATCCGTTTTTCGGTACTGGTCTTCTCACTAGTGGAGGTAACATCACGATATTAATATAAATAATGCTACATGTTTTACTAAATTTTGCTTTGCCTTCTTATTAAAGGACCCTGCAACGGTCCATAAAGGTTTTGGCTCCTAGTCAAATTTAACAATAATGTAGGATAATGTAGTTCATAACATGCCGATAAAAAATGTCCATAGGCACCAAGCCCAAAAATGGACAGTTTCCGAAAGATAAGGCATTAAAGAGTAGAAAAATGAGAGTTTTAGGTTTCAGCTAATGGCAGTTTGCAACAGGAATATATCATGATAAGTCATATCTTTTTTGATACTTAACCCACACGCAGGTAGAAAAAGAGAAAGAGAGTTGTTTGTGT